CAGCCCCAAAGCTGTCCAAGACAGCATTCGAATGCTCAAAACCAGCCTCAAAGTTCTCAAAATGGTGCCTACTTCCTCCCTTTCTTCAACCTCCACCACTCCCTCTTCAATCGACATTGTTCACTTGAGAAGCTCAACTAGCAAGGAAGAAATCACACTCTTGAAAGGATTCAAGGAGAACACACTTTGGCTTCAACAAAATGGGGAGGACTTGAGTTCTCAAGGTTTTCAAGAGGTGAGTGCTCAACTTTAAAAATGAGTGAAATGGGTAACATGAAGAAGAAGACTATATTTATAGTCTAGGGTTTTTCAAAAAGAGGAAAAAAGCCCAAATAGAAAATTATGGGCCCTCTTCAAAATAAAGTGCCCAAAAAGAAAGTTATAAGTCCTTTTCAAAACAAAAAAGGCCAAACAGAATATTATGGGCCTTCTTTAAAATAAAGTGGGAAAGACTTGAAGTTTAAAAAAACAAATGTAATCAATGCCTCCGTCTCCAAGTCTCCTTGGACATGGGGCATTGGGGGGCAAATGATGGGTTAAGCCCAAATAGTTCAATTTATGTGTTAAAATCCAACCCCAGTTGAGGAGCCCAACCTAATTTTGATTCTACCAAGTCCAAGACCGGTTAAACTTTTTGCTTAGCACGTCACCAAGAGGAAAGCATGCGAAGCTTATCTGCACCACCAAAGGAAACGGTCCAAATCCACCAAGCCCAAGACAGTCCAAGACCGGTTAGACTTTTTGCTTAGCACGTCACCAAGAGGAGAGCATGAGAAGTTTATCTGCACCACCGAAGGAAACGGTCCAATCTTTGACCACGTTTCACGAAGAGCTCCCTAACCTCCTCATTCCGTTGAGGATAAGTCGTGGTCTCCACCAAGAATAATCTCTTAGCTGCGATAAAGAAGCCTTGAGGATAAGTCGTGATCTCCACCAAGAATAATCTTTTAGCTGCGATAAAGAAGCCTTGAGGATATGTCATGATCTCCACGAGGATGATCTCTTAGTTGCTATAAAATAGCTTCAATCTGGTAGAAGAGAGATGAAGGTCACGCCCCACCAAGACTTACAGAGGACGAACCGACTACCGGAGATTACTATTTCTTTGGTTCTCCATTTTCTCTCTCAAAGCTTGTATCTCTATTCTCCATACCTTTGAATCAATAAAATATTCGGCAACTGAAGCCATTGAAGAGTGGACGTAGGTCGAATTGACCGAACTACTATAAATTGTGTCTTCTTTAATTTTCTCATTGATTTCATTGCATTTATTACATACATTTGACAGGTGGTGTGCAAAACCATTTTTGTGCATCATCAATTATTTCTCACTATCACCATTGTCGCTCACCATTGTTTATCTTTGCTATAATCGGTACTTAAATTTTTCTTTTTTTCTTTTATATTTATGGTTTAATTTTAAATATAAATATAATTATGTTTATGATTAATAATTTTTTTTAATTATTTCTTACCATCATGTTCATGCAAAGNCCTTTATATTTATGATTTAATTTTAAATATAAATATAATTATGTTTATGATTAATAATTTTTTTTAATTATTTCTTACCATCGTGTTCATGCAAAAGCCAATACCCATTAGTAAAAACTGTACGCTATTTGTCTGTGTTTTACACTGAACGTAATCTTCGTTACTAACGGAGAACATTTCGGGAGAACACGCGCACACAACCTGGTAATTAGGATCTGCCCACGCGTTTTACCTGGATTATGTCTTCCCGTCTCTCTTTCTCTCTCTCCATACNGTCTGTGTTTTACACTGAACGTAATCTTCGTTACTAACGGAGAACATTTCGGGAGAACACGCGCACACAACCAGGTAATTAGGATCTGCCCACGCGTTTTACCTGGATTATGTCTTCCCGTCTCTCTTTCTCTCTCTCCATACATTCCTTTCCTATCTCTTTACGCGTTTTCAGGTTGCATCCTTCCCACTCTGCTCACACATCAAAACTGTGAGCTTATGAGATGAGAAAAGTACCGTAAAATAACACCACCAGAAAGCTACTACCTCACTCCAAGAGAGACAGAAAAGCACTGATCCACAGAACTGAAAAAGCTTGGCTTGGGGGCAGCAATTTTTCCCTTTCCAGTTCTCTCTCTCTCTCTCTCTAGCACACAATCGCATTACAGCTTTACCACCAACTCCGGTGGGGACACAACTCCGCGCCAATCTGGGTCCCACAATCCCCCAACCCTTTCCAAAAATTAAGCAAGATAGGTATAATACAGTTGTTCATTACAAAATACATTTCTTCTTGACCCCTCATCTCTCCACCCATCTACGTATCTATGTTTCTCTCTCCTTGTCTCTTACGCGTCCACATTTCAACGCACTCTCGCTCTTTCTCTCTCTGAACTCGTGTGTCCAAATCGACATCTAGCACACTCCAGCTTGATTACAGTGCAGCATACTTAACCTTGTAAACAAATAAATATACATACAGAATCAAGCACACCCCAACTTTTGATTTCTTTATTTTATATAAAGCTTATGCATCCATTCCCTTTTTTCTCCAACTGGGTTTTGCTTTTTATATGTGGTTTCTCAATGTGGGGTGGGTATCTTCTAATGGTGGTTACACTGGGTGTCTCGACATAGTTTTCAGCGCTAAGGTGGCTCTTTTAGGCGATTCCATGTGTTTGGGCACATTCAAAGGTCGATTCTTGAGCTGAGTTTGTCGATTTGAAGAGTTAAAATTTTGAGGTTTGTTGATTTGAAGAGTTGGGTGCTGTGGTGGTAGTTGTGATGGCCACAAGTGGGAGACTTGTTGCTGGGTCTCACAATAGGAATGAATTTGTGCTCATCAATGCTGAAGAAATTGGACGGGTAAGACCCTCTCCGAAACCTCCATTTTGATTACTATGATAATTTTCGAGATACCCATTTACCCATTTTGCATGTATTTTATTTGGGATTGATCAGTAATGCAAAAAATTAGGGTTTCTCATCGCAGTATTTTTCTGTTTTACTATCTCTTCCGTGATTTGAGTGATGGGACTGAAACTTTACTGATTGAACCTACTTTGTTTGGTTAAAAAAAGTGATATTGTTTCTGTGATACTGTTTCTGTTGGGTAACGACTTGTTTGATTAAAAAAGAAGTTACTTTTTAATGGTTTTTTTGTTACGTTATTTGTGTTGAATGTAGGTGCGTTAGTTAGATTGCTACCATGTATCTCTTACAAATGCTTAATCTTATGTTACTAATGCTTAATCCTTGATATTCCTGGCGATTAAAGTTGTATGGGAATATTTTTGGGTACTTCAATTTACACATAAAATTCGGAAGGTTTTTATTATTGTTTAATAAGCTTTAGGTGGTTCATTATGATATCAGGGAGATATCGAATCAATGACTTTTCTCTGAAATATGAAGCTTTTTTATTTTAATGGAAAAGTTATTATATGCTGTGATGGAACTGTGATGCTGCATATGCCCAAAGGAGCATTGAATTACGTCGGTAACTTAAAATCCTAGGAAAGAAGCAAGCCAACTTCCGGAATATCTTAGTTGACAGATCTGAATCATCTGAGAAATTGGCATACTTGAATGCTTTTGAGTAGTTAGATTTTGGACAAAATCAGAGAACCAGAAGAAGAAAGAACTTCTCTGCAGAATTAAAGACTGATTTTATACTAATCAAATTGAAAGATGTATTCCTGATGGAATTGTTAGAAATCAAGCTCGACTGGCTTGATTGGAAGTTTTTTTCTTAAAAAAGAGAACTGAATGATCTGTTGCTATTATTTTTAACATTTGTTTAAGGTACAATGTAAATCTCTGAACTTTTCTGGAGCATGCTTCTTTTGAGTCAGATTATGTGCGCAAAATTGGGTTTGGTAAGTAGCTTAATGAACTTCCTAGTATTCTATTTTGATACCACCAGCTGTTAGCTTGACTGTTATCCCCTGCCACTCCAAGAAAGGAAATTGAAGAATCTAAGTCTTAGTCAGGACTTGGGTGCGTGGGTGCTAAGTATCGTTTTATATGTACTAATGCCATTTTGATATTTATTGATTTTTGTGGAAAATTTTACCTGTTATGTAGTATCGGTTGCATTATAACTTTATTTTGTGGTGGTTTCTCCAGATCAATTCTGTCCAAGAATTGAGTGGGCAAACATGTCAGATCTGTGGGGATGAGGTGGAGATGAATGTAGATGGAGAACTATTCGTTGCCTGCAACGAATGTGCTTTCCCTGTTTGTAGGTCTTGCTATGAGTATGAGAGAAGAGAGGGAAATCAGGGTTGCCCTCAATGCAAGACCAGATACAAGCGCATCAAAGGTCAAACTGTTTGCCACTCTGCTATGTTGCAACCTTAGAGAAATATTGATGAACTTTGTGAATTGTGGTTAACAAGTGATACAAATTGCAGGTAGTCCTAGGGTTGAGGGTGATGAGGAAGAGGATGGTGTTGATGATTTGGAACATGAGTTTGATTATGGGAACATTGATGCTTTTGACCCACAACAACCTACAGGGATGATGCTTTCAGCACAGTTCAACACTAGTCGTGGTGGCCACACTAGTACTTCCAGAGTCCCCTCTGACTCCTCTCCCTCTCCCTATGGTCCTCCTGAAATCCCTCTCTTGACATATGGTGAAGAGGTATATCAATTAGCCTATTTAAACACCCCCCCCCCCCTTTTTTTTCCTTCTGCATGTGCATTACTGAGGAGCTGGTTTAACCACTTAACATTCTTGTTTTAGAGCATTGAGATATCTTCTTCCCAACATGCTCATGGTACCCCGATTTATGGGACATGGAAATAGTGTTCATTCGATCTCTCCTGATTCATTTGTGTCTTGTAAGTCATTTGGCTCCATTATATTATATTCCAGAGCTGTTTGAATATTTATCCCTCACAAACTAAAACTGGTGCTTTCATTGTCCTAGTGCAACCGAGACCAATGGTACCACAAAAAGACTTAGCATTGTATGGATATGGAAGTGTGGCATGGAAGGATCGGATGGAGGAGTGGAAGAGAAGGCAGAATGACAAACTTCAGGTGGTCAAACATCCAGGAGAAATTGTTGGTGGCGTATGTGGTGGTAATGAAGAAAATGACCCTGATTTGCCTATGTAAGTGACTGCCACCATTTTCAGTGTAAGTTTCTTGTGATATTTTTTGTCATGGAAGAAGAAATAACAGTATGGTAATAAACGTCAGCCATATGGTTGGGCGAAAAAAGTGATTACTGTTTTGGTGTGTTTACAAGATGTTTGGGACCTCTGGGTGACAGGAACACATTGAAACAGTCGGACCTGTGCATATAAAGGCTTCAAAAAATCTACATGTCTTTTAATGATGAATTTTGGGTTGCTTTGAAGCAAATGCGAGAATATTTTCTTTGGCCATAACTTATTTGTTTGGAGGCATGGACTGAATTTGTCAAGGAAATCAACGTATTCTTTCTAACTTTTTATTAGAATTCTGATATTCTAAGGTAGACATAAATTAGTTAGTGGAGGGAAGTATTGGAATTACTTGGTAATATTTAATATTACTCAGATATAAATAAGAGAGTGTAGGGCAACCTGACCTACCGATCAGTTTATTCTCTCTGCCTCTGTTTACTCTTCTTCTTGTTCTCTCCTAAACCTAATGTTATTTTCAACTTTTTAAAATTCCATGCCCTTGCTTATTTAATATGAGAATTTTAACAATTCCCAAAACAAAAACGTAGGAATAGATGCTTCTGAATCTTTGTGGGCACGTACTATCAAAAAAGAAAAGAATCAAATAAAAAACTGTCATGGTTGAGCTAACGTATGCCAGGTAACCAACCGGTTGTCTTCAAGATTTGTTGCTTTACAGTTGTTGTCCTCGTGCTGGTGGCTTCTTCCAAGCTCGCAGAGAAGAGCTCAGATGCCTAGTTGTAAGATTTAACTAAGGTAAGATGTTTGGCTTAAAGACTTGGTAATGGCTGAAATATGTGTCTTGGTGTCCTATTTTGTTCAACTATAACAAGGATTAATTTAACAATGTCTCATCTCCTCCTTGTTTCTGGATGTTGCTTCTCTATATATTGTGATCTGTTAATTTAAATTGAGTTTATGTTTGATCAATTAATTATATGGAAATGATGCATATCAGGATGGATGAAGGCAGGCAGCCATTGTCAAGGAAGTTACCCATTTCTTCAAGCAAGATAAATCCATACAGATTGATAATCTTACTCCGCCTTGCTATTCTTGGATTATTTTTCCATTATAGAGTTCTTCATCCAGTTCATGATGCATATGGCTTGTGGATGACTTCGGTTATTTGTGAAATATGGTTCGCNTTTTTTTTCCTTCTGCATGTGCATTACTGAGGAGCTGGTTTAACCACTTAACATTCTTGTTTTAGAGCATTGAGATATCTTCTTCCCAACATGCTCATGGTACCCCGATTTATGGGACATGGAAATAGTGTTCATTCGATCTCTCCTGATTCATTTGTGTCTTGTAAGTCATTTGGCTCCATTATATTATATTCCAGAGCTGTTTGAATATTTATCCCTCACAAACTAAAACTGGTGCTTTCATTGTCCTAGTGCAACCGAGATCAATGGTACCACAAAAAGACTTAGCATTGTATGGATATGGAAGTGTGGCATGGAAGGATCGGATGGAGGAGTGGAAGAGAAGGCAGAATGACAAACTTCAGGTGGTCAAACATCCAGGAGAAATTGTTGGTGGCGTATGTGGTGGTAATGAAGAAAATGACCCTGATTTGCCTATGTAAGTGACTGCCACCATTTTCAGTGTAAGTTTCTTGTGATATTTTTTGTCATGGAAGAAGAAATAACAGTATGGTAATAAACGTCAGCCATATGGTTGGGCGAAAAAAGTGATTACTGTTTTGGTGTGTTTACAAGATGTTTGGGACCTCTGGGTGACAGGAACACATTGAAACAGTCGGACCTGTGCATATAAAGGCTTCAAAAAATCTACATGTCTTTTAATGATGAATTTTGGGTTGCTTTGAAGCAAATGCGAGAATATTTTCTTTGGCCATAACTTATTTGTTTGGAGGCATGGACTGAATTTGTCAAGGAAATCAACGTATTCTTTCTAACTTTTTATTAGAATTCTGATATTCTAAGGTAGACATAAATTAGTTAGTGGAGGGAAGTATTGGAATTACTTGGTAATATTTAATATTACTCAGATATAAATAAGAGAGTGTAGGGCAACCTGACCTACCGATCAGTTTATTCTCTCTGCCTCTGTTTACTCTTCTTCTTGTTCTCTCCTAAACCTAATGTTATTTTCAACTTTTTAAAATTCCATGCCCTTGCTTATTTAATATGAGAATTTTAACAATTCCCAAAACAAAAACGTAGGAATAGATGCTTCTGAATCTTTGTGGGCACGTACTATCAAAAAAGAAAAGAATCAAATAAAAAACTGTCATGGTTGAGCTAACGTATGCCAGGTAACCAACCGGTTGTCTTCAAGATTTGTTGCTTTACAGTTGTTGTCCTCGTGCTGGTGGCTTCTTCCAAGCTCGCAGAGAAGAGCTCAGATGCCTAGTTGTAAGATTTAACTAAGGTAAGATGTTTGGCTTAAAGACTTGGTAATGGCTGAAATATGTGTCTTGGTGTCCTATTTTGTTCAACTATAACAAGGATTAATTTAACAATGTCTCATCTCCTCCTTGTTTCTGGATGTTGCTTCTCTATATATTGTGATCTGTTAATTTAAATTGAGTTTATGTTTGATCAATTAATTATATGGAAATGATGCATATCAGGATGGATGAAGGCAGGCAGCCATTGTCAAGGAAGTTACCCATTTCTTCAAGCAAGATAAATCCATACAGATTGATAATCTTACTCCGCCTTGCTATTCTTGGATTATTTTTCCATTATAGAGTTCTTCATCCAGTTCATGATGCATATGGCTTGTGGATGACTTCGGTTATTTGTGAAATATGGTTCGCTGTGTCATGGATTCTTGATCAGTTCCCAAAATGGTACCCAATAGAGCGAGAAACATATCTTGATCGGTTATCACTCAGGTACTGACCCCAAATCATCTAATGTGATTTAACTTATTTCATCCAGTGGTGAATGGAAGGAATCAGGTTGTACAAGCTTGAGGACTGTAGAAATGGATCAGTTGAAAATAAATTGACATTTTCCTTTGATGAACCAATCCATTTTTATTGTTTCCTCTTGATTTTACACGATCTGATATTATCATTACTGACATTATAAATTTTTGAAATTTTTGGCCTCATCATGTGCTTTGTACCTTTCAGGTATGAGAAAGAAGGGAAGCCCTCTGAGTTAGCCAATACAGACATCTTTGTAAGCACGGTTGATCCATTGAAAGAGCCTCCACTAATCACTGCAAACACTGTTCTATCCATCCTTGCGGTGGATTATCCCGTGGAAAAAGTTGCATGCTATGTCTCAGATGATGGTGCTGCCATGCTTACTTTCGAAGCACTTTCTGAAACATCTGAATTTGCTAGGAAATGGGTACCCTTCTGCAAAAAATTTAGTATCGAGCCACGGGCCCCGGAATGGTATTTTTCTCAGAAGATTGACTATCTGAAAAACAAAGTTCACCCAGCATTTGTGAGGGAACGGCGTGCAATGAAGGTTTTAAGCTCATCTACCTGTCACTTCTGGGCAGTTTGCCTATCCTAGTAATATCCCTAGTGATGCAATATCCGTAATAAATCTGATGTGTTATATTTTTGAGTATATGCTCCTCAATTATCTGGGCTTAAAGTCTCCTGGGCTTCCATTTTGTTATTGACGAATTCATTTGTGGGTGCAGAGAGAATATGAAGAATTTAAAGTTCGGGTTAATGGTTTGGTTGCTGCAGCACAAAAGGTTCCTGAGGAAGGTTGGACAATGCAGGATGGAACTCCCTGGCCTGGGAACAATGTCCGGGACCATCCTGGTATGATCCAGGTGAGATGGTATTTCCTTCTGATAAAGGGATGCTGTTTCTTAGTTCTCATTACAATGCGAAATACGTGTGCATAGAATAAAGAAATAAACCTACTTCCATACAGGCACTCTCCTTATATTGCAATCTATCATTTTACTATCGGTACCTCAATGTTTATAGGACTTGCATTTAGGGTCAGTTGCATGTTGCTGTCTTCGAGGGTCAATATACTTCATCCTCAGTTGGGAGATGTGGACCAATTGATCGTCAAGGTGCCATTTTTTATGAAAGGGCGAGATGATCCGTGTATGTAAAATAGAGTACCCAAATTTTAACCTTTTTAGAACTGGCAATGATGAAGAGTAGTTTTTAACAAAGGTATATGGTTAGAGAAGTCATGGTGATTAGAAACCTCTACATTCTGCATCAGATAAAACTATCATNAGTAGTTTTTAACAAAGGTATATGGTTAGAGAAGTCATGGTGATTAGAAACCTCTACGTTCTGCTTCAGATAAAACTATCATACTGATCAGAGACACATTCTGATAAAAAAAATAAAATAAAATTCAGAGACACATTCAACAGTAGGCTTGTTGATCTCTTATCTCAATCTTTTTCCACACTTCTGATTTTTTTGTACTGATAAGAGGCACTACAACTATTGAACCCTCCAGAGTCCAGACCAGAGTCTATGGTTTACTCTCTCTTTGTCTTTGTGTAGGTGTGTGTGTGTTTCTATGCTCTCTCACTCTTGGTTTTTGGGGTCAAAGATTGTGTGCTCTCGTGCCAATAGTCTGAGACTAAAACACGGACACTTCTAAGAGAGAATGTGAGTGTATATGTTCTCTCTAATTTTCAAGTTTTTGGGGCTCAGATTGTGTGCTCCAACACCCATTGTATGAGATTTAGAAACACGGACACCTCAAAGTAGGCAACATCTTTGTTGTACATGTTTAGAGTCTTTAGACACCGAAACTTTTTCGGCATGTGTCCGACACCCTATTGTCACGCAAACTGGGAAAAAAATCTAAATTATGAAATGTGTCAGACCTCTTGCACACTCAAGGACGTGTTTATCAAATACTCAAAAGCTGGTGCGACTTTGTCATAGCGNGCTTCTTCCAAGCTCGCAGAGAAGAGCTCAGATGCCTAGTTGTAAGATTTAACTAAGCTAAGATGTTTGGCTTAAAGACTTGGTAATGGCTGAAATATGTGTCTTGGTGTCCCATTTTGTTCAACTATAACAAGGATTAATTTAACAATGTCTCATCNTTTTTTGGGGCTCAGATTGTGTGCTCCAACACCCATTGTATGAGATTTAGAAACACGGACACCTCAAAGTAGGCAACATCTTTGTTGTACATGTTTAGTCTTTAGACACCGAAACTTTTTCGGCATGTGTCCGACACCCTATTGTCACGCAAACTGGAAAAAAAATCTAAATTATGAAATGTGTCAGACCTCTTGCACACTCAATGACGTGTTTATCAAATACTCAAAAGCTGGTGCGACTTTGTCATAGCGTGAAGAAAATTTTATTCATTAAGAATAATCAAATTGAGGGCCTGCATAGGATTTGTATAGGATGTTTTCATTGTAGTTGAAAGTGAACGCAATACACATTTGAAGGATTTCTCAAAGAAGTGAACAGGTATCTATGCTGGTTATGCTTTGTTAGTTTGTCCGTATAAGAAAAGGAGATTGTGGACTATTATGCCTCATAAATCAAACATTTTATTTTTTAATAATAATATATCTGAGATTCTGTAACTCCATCGTAACTTAGGTGTCAAAGGGTTCAAGTCAACATAAAAGCATCTCTCGGGAATTTAGACGAGTTGGGTCGCAAACCCACCCATTTTGGATTGTACGACCCTGGTTTGTGAAATGCTTGGGGTATCTATGATCCTAGTATCTAAGTATGATTTTATGTACCAACAATAAACTCAATAACTTCATTTATTTATGTGAAATGCTTGGGGTATCTATGTAGTTATTGATGTGCCCTCACCATACCGGTCATACTTTCTAAAGATTTGCCATGCTGGAATGTTCCAGTCGTGTCCGGTACATATATGTGCTTCTTTATGTATTTGGTTAAACCATGGATTTATGACGGTGTTGCCTAAAAGTTTGTGTATAATCAGCCATTGGAGCTGAACTAGGGATGTCAGTGGACTGAAGTGGGGGCGGGGAGTATAGTCTTCATCCCTGTATCCGCTTAAAAAAACTCCGTTCATCTCCGGTTCATCCCCGTTAATGGATATAGTTTTCATCCCCATCCCCGTCGGCGGGTAAATTTTTAATCCCTGTTCCTGTCCCCGCTTCCCCCGTACCCGCCTAAGCCCAAGCCCAAATAACATTATCTAAAATTCTAAATAAATCTAATATTTTAAATAATTTAACAACATTCTAAATAATCTAACATAATCTAATACAACATAATGTAGATTTCAAAATGTAAAAGCCAAAATAATATAGTATTCTATTTAAAGTGTCATTGAACCACAAAAAGAGAACGAAACTATTAGAGAGAAAGGAAGAAAAAGAAAATAAAATTGAATTAAGAAAACAATAGCACTACAATTGAAGTTTCCTAGAAGAATTTTTGTTATTGCAATTCATATTACAGCCATAAAGTGTTAAAAAATGAAAAATTAAAATTTCGCTAATTCAATAATCCTACCCACAATGAAATGCAAAACTATCTTACTCTCTCTTATCTGTTTTTAGAGCATGGTCAATCCAAACTCCTAACAATTTTGATCAGTGAGCATACATAGAAAAAAGAACAATCAGGGAAAAAAGCTGATAAGATTACCATATAGTAATGCCAGTTGTTAGTTTGAGTACCATATTTTTAGATTGGTAGTTACATTTCAGAGTATATATATATATATATATATA